TTAAAACCGGCCCTCGATGCAAGCAGTCGTTAAGGCTGTTGGCATTCCGGCGTGCTTTTGCTGACGCGTCGTACACAATACGTAATTTTGTTGATGTCGAGTCGTTTTTAAAAACTCCGTGATGTGGCAAATAATGTTTGACCATACTTTCCTTTTTGCTCGAATCCACCCGTTCTATCACGCCGTCGTTCAATTGTTTTGAAATAATTTCATCATATTTTTTTCTTAATTCCGGGTTCTGAGTCAAACGATTCTTTAAAGATTTGAGACGACTGTGTGCTAACTTGAAATTTTGTGGTAGATCGGGGTTTTTATCTTTCCATGGCCACGATACGTAATATCGACCATCTTTAAATTCGATGGATTCGTTGAATTGTTTTACTGCGACATCGTCGTCCAATATTTGACCAGATTCACTGACACCGATCGCTTCCAATTTCCAAAAATTTTCTAATTTCGCGTCGACAGACGAAATAATGTTTGCAGGTGTTATTAATGTAGGAATAACCGACCCGCTCCGTTGACTTTTTTCTCCGACCCGGCCCGACAAAATCCATCCGAAAACCGTGTCCATCAAAAAAAGTCCTTTTTCCAATTCGATTTTTTTCTCTTTGACGATGTCATGGTAATAATCCGAACCAACTAACATATCCAAACGAACATTTTCAATATTTGTGTTTAACGGCTCAGCCAATGTCAATCTTTTCATGAAAACAAACCTTTTGATGTCGATCGGCTCCTTCTGAATTGGAGTCGATATCGTCGGAACGACATTGACCGTCATATCGATCGGTGGTCCATCAAAAGACTTTACTTTGATGTTGATAACCGGAATTCTGACAGCATTGGTCGCAGTTGTACCAAATGTCCCGACTTCTCAAGTGTCGTATCCTATAATTTTGACCTTGAATCGATCCGCAACTTCTTGCGTAATATATGATCTTTGACTCGCCGTATCTAATACCAACCGGCATCCGACCGACGTTTTCTTTTTACTATTTGGATCCTCGATGATCGTCGTCGCCGTTGGCATAATTACTTTCTGGGTCGGGACGAGCAATATTGCTGAACTGCCAGTTTTTGTTGCATTGACAGCTAACTTTTGTGCTCTTGCCTCCGGCCCATTTATATTTGTTTTCATTGATGATTCGCTTTCTTTTTTCTGTTGTAGACTATCCCCAAATTTTTTAGGACATAAACTCCTGTGATGACGACCTTTGCAATAGAAGCACGATGCTACTATTTGACAATTTTTTGATGAATGTCCGCTTCGCAAGCAAATATAGCACCGCTTGGGCGCCTAGACAATTTTTTCTTCTTTCAACATCTGGAAACTTTTCGCATTCGTCTGAGAAGTGCCCAGTGTCCGCACAGTAACTACATTTTTTCATAAAAGTTTTTGAATTCGTTACCAATGTTGATATGGTTTTTAGTGTTTGTTTTTGTTTGCCGTTCGATACCGAATTTTTCAATTTTTCTTCTTTTTTCTCTTCCACCCCACCTTCGTCATTTGATGATTCACGCGCGACGACTTCCTCTTTCAGTAATTTCCGCAAATTTTGTAAGTCCCACGGTAAATCTCCCTTTTTTCGATTCAATTCCAATTTGATGGCTGATGGAAGTTTCATAAGAATCATCGGCACGAATGTTTTCGCAAATTCTTCTTCATTTAGCCCGAGGGCTCGTAGACACCGAATGTGCTTTTCCATTTCATCAAAAAATAATCGTAAGTCGGACGTTTTCTTTGAAACTACGGAGAGTTTCAGAATTTTTTCGAAATGGGCGGCTATAGCAACTTGTTGATTGACATACCGTTCCCTCAACATTTCTGTCGCCACCGCATATTGAGCATTTGTGATCGGAATACCGTCGATTGCCCTTAACGCCTCGCCGTCCAAATAGCTTCTTAAATATTTAAATTTGTCGACGTCGGATATGAATTCATTTGAATGAATAGATGAATCAAATTGATCCCAGAATTCTTGCCACCGAATCCGATCGCCATCGAATTTCTTGACTTCCAATTTTGGTAGTTTTGGCATCAATCGCTGATTTGATTTTTGATTACTGGTTACTGATCGACTGTCAGCAACTTCGTTTGATCCGATGTTACTCAAAGTTGCGATTTTGACTTCCAATTCGATGAGCGCAGTTTGTAGATCGTCGGCGATTTGTAATGATTCGGTGAGTTCATCTCTCAATTCATCCTCATCATTCGTTGTTTGTTGAATGATCTCGTCATATTCGGCTAATAAATTTTTGTATTGTTCGAACTTTCCTCGGAGGACACCTAAAACGTCCACGTCGACCTCTTCTTTCGCTTTTTCTTCTTTTAATGTTCCACGTGTTTCTTCCACTTTTCCTCTGATGAACCTTCGTTTTGTACAGATCTGGAGCAAATTAGGCGTTTTCTTCTTTGGTGGCATTTCCTGAATTTAATTAAATAATGATGACTTACTCCCGGGTTACGGCACCAACTATATCGATTCCTGACGGATTCGATAGGTAAACTCTAATCTTTGCTGTTGAAATTTCGTACCAGAAAATAAAGAGACGTAAATTTTTTGTCTCTTAAAACACTACACAATTCTTTTGTATTTTTCGTTTTATTTCCAAATGCAAAAACGATAAGTAACAATGATCCAAAGGGTCTGGTTAATACAATCTTCTAGATACAAAATTCTTTTATTCAATCCAACAGTGTATATTGTTAGGCAAATTCGTCTTTTTATACTGTTCGAGGTGGCGTCTAGACAATTCTAGCCACTTCTAGTTGTTGTTTATTCTCTTTTTCTTCCTATACCTTGACCGTCTTCTATGAAATGTAAAAAAAAAACTTGTACAAAGCGCTGGAATGTGTACATACATAAAAAATGTTTCAAAGTTCTCTCTCTCGTTATTTTAATACTTTTAGTTATCAAAATCGCGCTAGGCGCGACAGGTAACTTGGTTTGACCCGACAAATATTGGCCATGGACTAGATTACCGAGAAAAAAGAAAGAAAAACAACATTTAGAGAACGATCACGCCTATAATGTCTGAGAAGGAAGAGAACAACGGAAAAGCAGTTACTCGTTATTTTCACCATGTGCTCCGTCGGTACAATATTTGTAATCAAATAATAGCCAATCATGGCTGAGAAAGCACAGGGTGATAGACGCTTTCACGTGCTTCGAGATTACACACTGAGTTTGGTAATAACTTGCTCGTATATTAAAAATAAATTTGAAAAGATGAATGAAAAAGAGAAAAAAATGCGTTCCTGGGGAATCTGATGATGAGGGCGTCTTTGTTGAGCTTGAATTTTTTCCGAGAACAAACGCAATTCAAAAGATGTTTATAGAGTCTTGTAGAGAATCTCACGGGCTATCCGTATCTATAATTACTTTCCCCAAATGTTGATTTACAGTGATAATTTATTCAAAATACCGAGTCTAACTATTTCTGTCCAGGGGGATGTATTGCTCTTTTCAGTTTATTTTTCAATATATTTGACATCAGTTGTTGTTCTACTTGTAACTCATTTGTTGTTATTATAGAGATCCAGTCCATTTGATGCTAACGCCCCGCTGATCATTTTAAGATAATAACCAGTCTGGTAATACTTTCAGCGCAGCATCGTTGTATGCATTTACTCAATATTTGAGTAAACAACTACTGCTAAAAAAAAGAAAACACAAGTTCAACATTTTTTATGAACGAGATACATATCTTAATCGTATCTGTAGTTTACTCGACACGCGTACAAATATAGGAGTAGATCTGGAAAAAACATAAGTTGATAAATAAACTGGCATCCCAGAACATAATGCTAATAAAATGAAAGAGCACATAACGTTAATAAAACAATTTAAAGTCGAACCATAGAAAAAACCAGAACAGGAAAAAGAACAGATGAAAAATACGAAAATTGTAAATTATTAATGTGATGATAATCTTTCGATAAAAGTCACTCATGCTGCTCATTGACATTTATCTAAAATAGAAACAAAGTATTGGGAACATGATACTCATCTTGGTGAACCTTGTAGTCTCACAAAGTTTACACCTGGTCTAGGTTCAATTTTAAAAGGAAAAATTTAGTTCTATGCAGAAGTCAGTTGGTCTTCTTTAGATTTTACGGCTTTATTTTGTTGGAGAAACATGGATTTAGCTTTTAACACGAGATGTGTACACGTACCATTCGACTGACTCCCCATTGTTTGTTGACAAGTGATCTAACAGAGCATCAACAAGTGTTTCTTTTTATTTCACAAAGAACGTAGCACGTGCAGCAATAAAATTGAAAGAATGAGAAAGAAAACACGACGAAATAAGGCTTAAAACAGAGAGAAAAATGAAAAGAACGTTAATGCCCATCCATCAGATGTCGGGAGAGTTGTTGATAATTATTGCTGTTGTTGTGTGGATTGGTCAGTAACATCCTGTTGTTGCTGTTGAAACGATGGAGAAGGAGACAGATGAGGTAAACTGATCGTCTTTGCCTGTTGCTGTTAACCGTTGGTAAATCAGAACACGAAAAACTTATTTTTGACGAATAATACTGGAAGTATACTTACGATTGAACCCAAACATTAATAGTCGTTGTTGGCCACTTCTAAAACAGAAAGGGAAATCAAGAGAGTTGAAGATAGAATAACTTAACTATGAAATAAGATCCAAAGTGGTTAAATTTTGAGTTTTTCAATTAGACAAAGAATGGTACAAAAAACGTTCCTTTCGTCACTAGTCGCGTAATAAATAAATATGTACGTACTGTTGTTCATAATAAAGGTCACCACAATACGAGGGGATTTGTTGTTGACCACTTTTGAAAAACAAAGGAGAGAAATAAAATAGAAATAGTAGAAGACGAAAATCTACCTACTGTTGCCCATAAAATGCATCACCACAATGAGAGGGAGTTTCCTGATTTTGTCCATAATTTGTGCCAAAAACATAAGACAGAGGCTACTGTTGACCACTTCTAAAATATAAAGGTGAAATGTAAAATTAACAGCAGCCTGAAATCTAGTTACCGTTCACCACAAACCGGACCAACAAAAGAAGACACAACCTGCTGACAAGTTCTAAACGGACAGAACATTAAAAAGTAACAAGCTAAAAGATTAAATTAGTTACAGAAAAAAATGTATGCTCCCAAACAATACAAATTCTCTATACAACAAAAAGAAAGTTATGATAAGGTCGAAAGGATGCAAAAAAAACTAATGCAAAATTTATTTTTCATCTTTTTAAAAGTCGAACTCATAGGTAAAATGAAAAGTCTAATGGTCTGAATATAGCTCTCTGCTTTCTCTTGTTCATTAGACTTTTCAGAATTCTGAATGAATCTTCGAGCTTTACATGTATGGGGTTTCAACAACTTTTTTGTAATTATAAGTTAAATAAATAATTTTCGTTCGTAATAAACTTTATTTGTTGATTTCCAAAAGTTTCGATTCACTAGTTCAATTCTCATCAGTGGATACAAACAATTAATTAAAATAATTTACACAAAAAATTTTCTTTTCTTTAATATTACATGGGAACTCCTGACATACATACATACACGGCACAGTGGGCAACTAAGCGGACATTAGGCCAAAAAGTCGATTTTATCTATCTTGAAATACAAATAGTGCAAAATGTAGCTCTTGAAATTCTCTATCGAATGGTGTATAAACGTCTATTGTGAAAC